TAGCTTTTAAAATGTCTTAAGTGCTCTTAAATTTGAGAAAATTGTAAGCGGATATTTTTTTGGGGTTTTTTTTTCAGACAATCGGTCTCTCGAAAATATTTGTTTTATAAGTTTTGGTCCAAAAAGACGTAAGCGACACCTTTTTCAAAATTTTATTTTTCCTAGAGCATTTAAGGAATATTTCTGCATGAAAAATGAAATTTGAAAAAAAAATGTCGATTACGTCATTTTGGACCAAAAATTATAAAACAAATATTTTAGAGACCAATTGTAACAAACTAAAAATCCAAAATTCACTTTTTGATTGAATATGATGCAATTCTTCGAATTATAAGTTCACATCGTTTTATGCATTAAACTATTTTAGTTAGCTGTGGTTTTATTGCATTCCAGTGACGATGTGAGACACGCCCATTCCATACTACACTAACGATATGTGTGTATGTACATTAGAGTGGTCCCAGTTTTGTATGATGGAAAGGAAAAGTCATCGTAAAAAACGGGACACCCCTAAGTTTTTCCTTATGGTATTTACAATCAGGGCTATCCACTGAATCCGTCGTAGTCCGAATTTTCGCGAAATCTACGAAGATGCTATCACCGTGCATACGTTCGTGGCAATTCGGATTCAGTGATCGCGTTTTCGTACAGTTTACGAAGATCGGACTACGATAGCCCAGATTATCTATCCCAACTTTCAATTTTCTACTGTAACCAATAGAGGGTGCTTGAAACGCGCTACTGTATCTCTTTGAAGCTGACAAAAATATTGGTGACATTAGGTTTATTCGTGTATTTATAGTTCCTGTTCGCGTACACAAAAATCCAGCAAAGTAGCGGAAATTGAGAGACCAAATTTACATTTCATTCTGATGAAAAGCTGCTAGTTTCTGCTGGAACAATTTTTGCCAGCAGCCATTTGCCAGTTAGAAAAACAGCTGATCAAAGTCACCTGTTTTCAATTTATGAAAATATGGAAATTTATTTTAGATTTAGATTTATTATTATGATTTTTAAGTTTGAAGTAACTAATTAGAATTGCAAATGTATCGGAAGAAAGCAAATACTCATATACTCATGTTTTATTAGCAACTTTTAATTTATATACCTTTCATGTTTTCTCTTTTATGCTTTTCTATGTAAACAGAATTTCGATCATCCGTACTAAAAACTTGCAAATTTTTGCTGGTTTTGCGTTCGTGTACTTTTGCTAGCATTTCTCTCTTTGAGGGAAATCAGATAAAAATTCATTAGAATTTTGCTGCTGAGAGTTTTCTGCTGGAAGAATACGCGAATAGACCTTTTATAAAAAGCTACTGTTGCCATAACAACTGAAGCTTGTACTATTTTTTTCAGTTAATTTAAATTTGAAATGTTCTTAGGTTGCTTAACCAATTGTTTGGTTAATATATGTATGTATGTAATATATATGTAGTAATATCAAGGTGTATTAAACAAGGTGTGATTGACAACTCAGGTAGGCTCTCTTTTAAGGTACTATTATGCCAAAAAATATAAACAATCGCTTCAAAATTCATACAAATTTTTTTCAATTTGACTTTATAGGATGGTTCTTCTGAGAGCAATGTCAAATTCAATCACACTTTGTTGAATACATTTTGAGTAATATATAAATATTTCATGAGGATTTTGTAAATTTATGTTGGCAACCTTAAAAAAGTAAATTTGGGAAAAAAAAGGTTTGACCACCTTAGTGTACATACATACATACACCCGCGTTCAACTAATTAGCAACGAAATTCAAAATGATATTGTTTGCAACTTATGTCTATTTATTTATTTTTAATAATTTTAATTTAATATATAATTCAACCAACAACAGAAACCACGTAAAGAAAAGTTTCAAAGCTTGCACAAATTTCATGCGCAGTTTCTTCCATGTAACACATGTTCAAAATCTACTTTAAAATGAAAAAATATTCGCAACACCCTACACAACAAAATTCTAAAATATCAACGGTACATTTTAGCGACTTGAAACTTGCACTTTATTGGACTAAAATTGAATGGGTTACAAGATTGCATAGCCAAAAATGTTCTAAATATTCTGATTAAAAATTTGGAAATTTTGATAACTTTTTTTTTTAACTTTCGCAAGCTTCGAAACTTTTATTTATGTGACTTCTGTTATAGATTTAATTACACATCATTACCTTAATATAGATAGGCCCTATCTCACATTTTTGTTTCTTTACAGAGTAGTTATAAAGCTATATAAAGAATAAAGTTCTTCGGTTGCAAATTCCTTCAAAACGTTGGTTTTTAATACACACTGAAACAAATTCATTGATCTAGTTGTTGTTTTTAAATTCTATTAGGTCCTTACTGAACAGTTTGCCAACTTTTGTACAAAGCTGAGTTTCGAAAGAAAAGGAGGTAGAACCTTTCTATATTAAGGTAACGATATGTATATTTTAAATGAAAATTATTAAAAATAAATAAATAGTAGGGCATGCGAAAAGGTGTACGGTGGTGTTGTGTGGAGTGGTTCCGCATGCTGGGCAGGTGACGCCGAGTTCCGGGTCTAATCTGGTTCTGTATAAGATCAGGCGACTGCACCTGTCAGGTCTGAGTTGAACCAGTGTGGTTCTGGTATCGCGTGCGAGTTGCAATTCGCTCATATCGAGCGGCCGGCTATCGAGGAGTTTTCGTGTTGCGAATATGACAATTTTGATGCAGCACGGGTCGTTTAAAGAGCTGAACTGCATCGAATTGGAGTTATCGGAAAAATGCTGACTTATTACCTTTGGTAATTAACCGACTCATATGTTCATAGATCCAAAATTTAGCAAAGGTTTAAAAATATACTAGTCGGAGCTTATTTTCGACACAAAACATGTTTATTAGCTTAACTTGTTAAGAAGCAAAAACGAATAAAAACGAATTTTTTTTCGCTATGTGCATACCATATTAGCTGTAATATCTTTATTTTGCTTTTCTATCTCAGTCTAAAGTATCGCGACAATATATCCAATCCAAATAAATGCAGCAATTTCATGAATCACTCAACAGCTTCAACGGTGTTGACATGAGGCGATCTTCCAGGCAATTTTAGAGGCGATTAGTTGAATCAAAAGTTGGATGCCCCCCAACTTCATTGGAAGCGATGAGTTGAAAGGCCGTTCACACCAGGCGATTGTTGCTTTCACATAAACGTTGCCTGTAGAATCGCCTCATGTAAACACCGTATTGGAAAGAATTCAGTTATTGATGTAGGAGCAAGGGGAGTGGGGAGTGCTAAGCTTTTGAAAAACCTAACTGAAGGCGTTCATGTAGGCTCGATCGTAGTACAAATGACGGAATTAACCCCTTTTTAGTTTTCGTATGTAAAAGGATTTGCTAGCTAAGAGATCTTCCGGAAGCGAAATGTATCGATTTCGTATAGGAATCTAAAAAACAAAAAGTTATATACATACATGAATTGAAAAAAATGTATCCATCTATAAATTAAGCAAAAGCGTTTTACCTGTTCAGTGCATAGAAACTCCCCGCCAAAAGTCGATTGCGGGTCCAAGCGATATCCAAAAAATGTTTTTTTTTTCTAATACGATTGCCGCTCATCAGGCAATTGCAAACCTCCGAACGTGTTTCTGCATGCCATAAATGTCATCTGCACTTAAAATTATAGGTACTCCTCCGGGCTTTTAATAACTTGTAGACCTTGTACTCAGGGGATAGGGATTTAACCCAGGTATTGTTCTATTTTTTTTTACGAATCATTTTTGTTAAACTGCTCCTTTCGTTATAGTAAACTCAAATTCAGCTCAAATTTATTAATAGTCTCATTTATTGAATTATTTTTCAACATATTTCGCTAGTATAGACTCAACGTTAAGGCGTTTAATTCCTCTTTTATTAACTTATCTAACTAATTTATAAAACGAATGAAGCAAAGCAAAGGGTCGGTAGAAGTTAATGGTAAATCCAAATGAAAGATTTGGTACTCAAAACATTAAGACGATTTTACTTTAGCACTATTTTCCATGTATACGCTTAAATATTTACTAATAGTATATTAACTAACAAACCGTGTTTCTAAAATAACTACATTTTGAAATGGGTGCTTCTTTAAGTATTTTTCTAGCAATATTTATACAATAAATACAAACATGTTTGCTCTTCTTTCATCGGTTACAGTTTTAAGTACATTTTTAGTTCGAAAAATAACACTCTAGATGTATTTTAATATATTCTAAAATAATTTAAGCACGTGGAGTTAGAAAGAATTTTGTTTGCAGATCGACGATGCTAGATTAAAATTATAATTCTTATTATTTGCGAGGGCTTAGTGTTAGTTCAAGGGAGGTTAAGTTTATGCAAAACGTTGAAGAATTGAGACATATGTATGTATGTATTTTTTTTTATGTATTAGTTGCCAACTTAACCTCTTGTTATTATTTAACCTAAATGTTTATTATGGTATTACTACCAAAATGAAATTAAAAGAATCGAATTTTGTATGGCATTTCGAATTAATATTTTGAGAATAAATGGAGAAAAAATCGAGAGAACTTGATTTTTACCCAAGTGCCATATTTTTTGTAGAATGGCTAGGTATATTTTTAAAAAAAGGGTTAAGTTGACGAAAAACTTTAGACATTATTGAAATTTAATAACAGATTCACAAGTGAACCTCAAGTCGTTGTCCTACCCAAATGGTTATTGCTTATATATCTGCGACAACGTCAAGTCTATTTAACAATGAGTTTTTAAGTGTAACTCCACTTGAATTCTTCTCTTCTTGAATCTTCAGAGTACCATTACGCTGCCAAATATACAAAGTTCCAAGCTTTTGTTTGTTTTTGTTGTTGCAAGTTTTTGAAATTCCGTATGTAAGTATAATAATATTAATAAAGTGAGTTGTAATATTTTTCTCTTCAGATTAAAATTTGCAATACTTCTCGGTAGAACGGCACTAATGGCGACATTATGGACATTTTTCATAGAAAAAATATATTTTTTATACCCAAATATTGTTCTTCTATTGGTATCCCTTCATGCAAAAAAAAAATATAAAAAACGCTTCTTATTTAGTGGTTACAGTGGCATTACCCCTTAAGTGTTAACTCATTTGATGATATTTTTGTGTTATACTTAATTCTACCAAACAGATGTTAATTTTCCGCAAATGGTGTTTTTTTTTCTTTCGTCAGCGAAAGCTTAAACTCCAATCAAGTTATATTTTTTGTTTTTAATTTCTTTTTGCATTTAGATATTTCTATACATTTACAGCTATAGTGTTTATTTGTGCCTACACTAATTTGTTCGGCGGTTCCATTCCAGTCAAACGCATTAGATATTTTAATAGCTCAATAATTGTTCAGTCATATTTAAATTCAGTCGAAACCTATACATATGTACCTACGAAGTATTGAGAAATACGATTAGAGCTCCACATTATTGAGATTCGAACCCGAGGATGAGGGCAGATCAACATCGCTAGGTGGTACAAAGGTGCCCATTGATTGTACTGATTTGTTCTTTTCAGCCAATTTCAGCATTTCTGCCTTTAGCTTGTCAAGAATGGCATAATTTGGCTGATTTATAGCAGCTTTGCTCTGCAGTACAGTGATTTCCTGCTCCTCCAGCTTCTTTTCCTTGAAAGTTTTAATTGAGTTATTGCCATATAAGCGTAACAGAGAACCCCAAGTCTTGATGTGTGGATGCAAAATCTGTGAAAAATGTTATTTTTTAGCAAAGTAGTACTAGAGTTAAAAGTTATTGTATTTCTTTTTTCTCAATAAGCAATTGCAGTGCACCTGTAATATCGCCTGTGAAGCCAATTGCTTGCCCTCGCGCTTATTTTTACACAGCACTTTGGCTGTATGTTTGCCCACAGTCATGGTGAATTCATTTTTCTTATTTTTCGTGCGATTAATTTCATAATTTATTTGCACATCGCCCAGACCGAAGTTACGTTGCAGACAGGTGAGCAAAATGGCATGCGGCGATGGCTCTGTTGTTTTGTTGCAAAATTCAGCAACACGTGGATCTTGAATTTTGATATCATCAAAAACCTAAGAAAAAAAAATGAAAGCAACATTAATATTTAGCGAAAAAGGTTCGGAAGAAACTGTAGCTTAACGCACTGATAGATCTTTGTGGTTGGTTTTTGGTGTGCTTTTATCCTGCTTAATACCCGTGATTTTGTCCTTCATTTCGGGTATCAATATCTCTAATGTCTCACGAGCAGCATCTGATTTCGCCTGCTTCTTACTGGTGCCATAACCTGTGCCATATTTTAAATCATTGATAGATACAGTGGCCGAGTAGGGTGTTGCAGCATTTTCCAGCTCTTTAAATTCGTATGTAGGCTGTTTCTTCAGCGCATGCTGCACATACTCATGCAATATACACACATAACTCTTGCCATTTGGGTTCATAATCCACTCTTTGCGACCGCGAGAATTCGCATTCGCATCGCCGCTAGGCGCCAAAATTGGAAATTTAATCAGCTTCGTGCCATCGGGGAGTGTGGGACGTTGTAAGTTTTTAATGTGTTTGCGATTCTTTGTGAATTTCCGTCGCGCATTCCACGAGCGAAAACGCAAAACGCGTATTACCTTGAATTTGAACAATTTGGTGCAGTATTTATTCAATTGTTCTGGCGTCAACGACTCTTTTTGCGTATTTTCGGTAACGGTAACGATTTTTGCAGGCGGTACTAGGCTCTTCAAAGCCGCAACATTAGCAGCCAAGTCCTCTGGATTCGCAGTGGTTGCTATGACGCCTGCGAGGGTTGATGCTGAATTTTTGGAAAGTAATGACGCAGGCACTATAGTAGCTGTAGGCTCACTTGTGTCCATGGCTTCGCCATTTTCTGCAATGCCATTAGTCGAAGACGAAACTTGTGTTGATTGGCTAGTCTCCGTAACGGGACTCACGCTGCTGCTGACGCCAGTAAATGGACATTTGCCCACATTATTCTCATTGGTCTCGTTGGTATCCTGGGGCATATCCCCTTCTTCTTCTTTTGCCGATTCTTGTTTTTGGCGGTCCGCCTCCTCTTCTTCAAGCGCGCGTCGATAATTCAGGCATGGAATAGCGCCTAATGGTATGGCATGTTTCTGAAGGTAAACAATCATTTAATGAATATGAAGATCTATGTAAATCTTCATAAATATAAAAAAAAATACTACGGTTTTTTTCAATTTCCAAATATACGTTTTAGAGATGCTGAACATATTCACTCAACTACGAACTTGCCAAAAAACTCTAAAAGCTAGCAGCAACTTACTCGCACACTGCCATGACCAAGAAAATATGGTCTCGACGCTGAAACGACACGCGTTTGTTTATGCAGAAATAGTGGCATGCCGCTGTTGTGAGTCACCTGAACCCAACCCTCTGGTAAAACTTCAAAATGGTTATGTCCTTTCTCTGAAAATTCGCAACAAGCATATAATTTTAAAGATTTTTCCAATGAAAGCGATATTCTACAAACCTTCCAGGACAGTTTTAAAGCGTTCCTCATATTTCGGTTTCTTCGGTTCCTTTAAGTCATCAGGCAAATTCTCGTTGAGCAGATTCTCAATCTCATTGTCGTCAATATCCAAATCAGAGGATTCATAACCATCACCGTGATCATGATTTTTATCGCCATTTTCGCTGCCGATGTCTGATAAATGAAATAAGTTCATGATTTGTAACAGTTGAGAGGATGAAATAATATATAAGTAGAAACGCACAAATATACCAAGCAGCACACGAATTCCTTTCTTTTTTCAGATTTGTATCGTTGCATGAGACAATAATGGAAATATGAACCACGCTTAGCTATACATGTACATGTATATTCATACACATAAACATATTTCCTGTTTACTTGTGAGAACCAATGTTTACAGAGTTGGGGTCTTGTTTAAATATACTCGTAGACAAAATCTTAATATGTAACAGATAATGCATAAACTTATTAGATATCTTAATATTTGTACGTATGTGTATGTACATACATATATGTATGTATTAAGTGAATTTAAATTAAAGGCTAATTTTTTATATAATATGCCTACATACATATTTATGTAGGTACATGTGTATATGACGTGGAATTTATTTACAGCTTACCTTTCTTATATTGAACTTCACTGGAGATCTCCAAACGTACAATCGGTATCATACGCATGTTTATATGATTTTCATTTTTTTTTAATTATAAGATTTTGTGCTGTATTAATCTATTAGCGCGCTCTTTTCCATTTTGTAGCGTATCCATATTGTGATCTCAACAATAGAGAACAAAAATATGCTGCTCATATCTCAAGGAAAGCAATACAAAATAAAGGAAGCCTACCACACTTATCTTCTGGTTCTTAAAAACTATTTAATTCCTACACAACGGCATTTTTCAACCTGTACTACTACCTTAAAGCTCCTGAATGCCCTTTTCTAGCAGCACATCTAAGCATTTATTTTTCATATAGGTACGGCACTATATTGAAAGAGCGTAAAATTTTATATGTATGTGTTTAAACAAGATTTTTGTTAGATAAAGCATCTATGCCAAATGCCGGTTAAATAATTAGAGCTAAACGCTACATTGTCTAATAAAATCAAAAGTCTGTCAACTGTAGCAGTACTATACATACCCGAATCTTCAGTGCCAGAGCCCTGTACTTCGTCAAGCACTTGAAATTGTCGCAACTGTTGGTCGAGCGCTCCGCTTTGATTATTTTCCTCAACACGTGTCTTCATTTCCTCAATAGCGCTTAACGAGAAACCTCTCTCCTTCATTGCAGTTGCTTCCTCGTACATAGTTTGCTCATCGAGACGCGCTTTTTTACTAGGTTGTGGCGACGAGGAGCGCGGCGAGGGTGATCGAGGCATACTATCACTTTCGCTAGACATTTTTGTATTACGTATTCGCTAGTCTTTTTTTTAATTATTACAGAAGGTAATGATTCTCTACTTCATGCAAGCTTCAAATTATGGTCGATTAAAGGCTGCTCTTTAAAACATCCAACCTGATGGAATCCAACTTTTGTATTGATTTTTAATAGAAATTGGATTGGTCACATTGGTTATTTTAGAACAAGCCCAAATTAATGCACCTGGCTATCTCTCAAAGAATTTTATTTCCAGCGTTGTGTTAAATGGCAGAAGCAACTTTCGCAATGGATTCTGTTTTGAAATTTGTATTTAGTTTAAAATACACGAAACCACTGCAAAAGTACTTCTTTGAAGATTTAATTTCTTATTTAGTACGTAGTAAATTTTTAGTGAAAATTCGGCGTTGTATTCAATTGATAAAAATAATTTTCACGCGTATTTATTTGCACAAAACTAGTGATAAATTTTTATTAGTCGATTAACAATTAGAAATGCAAACGATGCATCGATGTTTTCAAAACATCGATGTTTCGTTCAAAAATATCGACGAACGACGCGCGCGAAAAGTTGGCCATTTTTCTGCGTTGTGTTGGCGTTGGCGTTGCCGAACTTTGATTATGTTGAGATTTTCATAAAAATGCATGTATTCAGATACTACGTTTATGCGTAGGCTAATTCACGAATTCATTTCACGAACTTGGGTTAAAATTGGCTGCATAAATACCATTTCATAAATTCAGTTATGCACGAAAGTTAACCATGAATTCGGCATCATTTCATGAAATCGTGAAGTGTATGTCCGGCAACGGTACGTTTCACAATCAGCTGTTTACCAGGGTTATGATGTTTTTAGATTAAAAAGTTAGAGTGACATAACCATGATTTAAAACACTTATGTGGAATCGTTGAAATAAAAGATAAATTCAAATAGAATAAACTGAAAATATATTATAACAAATTTAAATATAATATGGTTCATTGCCTGGTACCAACGACTTCTGCAAATTCAAAAGGAGGCCAAAAAAGTCACAACCCTACTGTTTAGTTTCTCGCCAGTGCATTGCCACTTTTTTAAGGCACTTTATTTATGCTTTATTTCATGAATTCGCGAACGATGCATAAACGGGACCATTTTTGAATTCATGAATTTTCTCGCATAAACACAGTAATAGTCAGCTGTACGACGCCAACGCCAACCCAACGCCAAGATTTCATGTAAACGGGCCTGAACGCGAAGTTGTATTTGTAAAAACACAAACCAAATTTTCTTAAATAAAAGTGTAAAATAGTGGTTCTTGTGATGTAAACAAATGCTCACAAACTTTTCTCACAACCAGACAGAGAAACAAATACAATGTCGGGTTCTTGTGTGATGTTGTATTTTTGGTTCATGGTGTTTGGCAGATGTTTAAACAATTTTAGTAGGAGGTATAGATGTGGGGTAATGGGAGCTGTTCAGAAAGCAAAACGTCATCAAACCAAAATCTGATTGCAACACTGGTTAAGGACAGATATGTTACCTTGTCATTGGTGGAAAAATTTCAGACGTCGCAGGAAAGATTTTCTTTGTATAAAATCGAATTAATTAAATTCCCTATAATAGTAACAACCAAATCGGTGTTCTACTTTGGTAGAGCATTGTTATAGAAGCAAGGGAGTCTCAGCTGATATATAATAGCTGTGAAAATTAAAAGAAATTTTGTGAGGCAAGTGTTGAAAATCGATTTTTGTTTATTTTCTCTGCGAATTTGCCGACAGTCGATGTTTTTCAAACTCCGCCGAGTTAGCAAATTACACATAAAATTAAAAATTTTCTTACGAATAAACATTTTTACGTCAGTGTGCTAACAAAAGGAGAAACTGCAAGTAGAGCTGTATCTAGTTATTTGCTTCAAAGGTACGCGACACTAGTATCAAACTGGTAACGAACTAAATCCAACAAAATGGCACATTCGATGCACACAGAACGCAGCATTCATGAAATGCTCAAGGACACACCACCTATGAATGAAAGTGCCAGCGCCATACACAGCGGAACGGAAGGCCGACCTTTTATGCCACCAAATAGTCTACCACTTCATAATCATTCGGGTAAGCTTGCAATAATTACACTCATTAGGTTTTCAATAAAACTTGCATATAAAAAATGTGTGTGGTTTCTTTAGCACCTGCCACACCCATGGCACAAACCAGCCCACAAAATGGCATGGATGCGGGTCTGCTACGTACGGGAGCATCTAAAATCGACAGCATAAAGAATTGGAGCATATCAACTTACAAATGTACTCGCCAAATAATGTTAGAAAAACTGGGTAAATCACAACGCACCGTTGATTCAGAGTTAGAAGCTCAAATCGAACAGTTGCGGGAGACACAGCGCAAATATCTTTCGATTTTACGATTAACGCGCGCCTTTAGTTCACATTTTCATCATGTAGTTGCAACACAACATGCGCTGGCCGAAGCATTTGCAGATTTAGCACAGAAAAGCCCAGAGCTGCAGGAGGAGTTCACTTGTAATTCGGAAACACAACGAAATCTTACGAAAAATGGCGAATTGCTCTTGAGTGCGCTGAATTTCTTTATCTCGTCGGTAAATACATTGTGCAATAAAACAATTGATGACACATTGCTCACGATTAAGCAATATGAAACGGCAAGGTATGAAAATTATTATTTATGTATGTACATACATTAAGCAAATTGTAACTTTTTATATGTACGTGCTCGCAACAAATAGAGTGGAGTTCGATGCATATCGCATGGATTTAGAGAATACCAAACCCGAATTGCCACAAAGTCCAATCACTGAAGAAGCGCAAAAAAACTTTTCACATCATAAAGAACTTTATGAAAAGTTGCGTGCTGATGTGGCAGTAAAAATGCAATTTCTCGACGAGAACAGGGTAAGGGTACAACTAATGGTTCTATTTATTTTTAAAATCTTTAACTCTCATTCATTGTTTCAGATTAAAGTGATGCACAAACAGTTGGTGCTGCTACATAATGCAATTGCGGCGTACTTTTCCGGCAATGCTGTTGCTCTTGAGAGCACAATAAAACAATTTAACATTAAAGTATACAAATTTTATAAATATGTTACAGTCAAAAACTAATTACTTCTTATTTTAGTTAAAAGCACCTAATGCCTCGACTGGGTCCTGGCTGGAGCAGTAGTATTTCTAAATAACTGTCCCTTAAAGCACCCAGCGGTCATATGCAACTATAAGCTAGCATATAAAATAAAATACCTTGTCGAAAAGCAAACCAAGGGAAGAATATTGAGTGCGATATACATACATCTTAAGCTAACTGCATTGGAATGAATTTTCTAATTAAGCATAACTAAGGTAACAGATATAAAATTTGGTTGAAAACGTATAGATCGTCCCCTCAATATAACAATAGCGTATGTGCTCATACGCCATTATTTTTTTATTGTATATTTAGAATCTCCATCATTGATTCTATGTCTGGTCAAAATTTCGTCAAATTCTACTTCCACAAAGTGGGTCAAAATGTCATTGGAAAAAATGGTGTATAATTTCTTGTTCAAAAATTTCCTTCAAACAAAAAAAAACAAAAACTTTAAACTAGATTTTCTCAAAACCCAAAAAAAAATTATACGCTATTGTTATATTGAGGGGACGAGATAATGTGCATACATAGATGTATCTAAATGTACTCTTCATTGCTTTTCCCGTAATTTTCAATAACTAATGAGAAAAAAAGATAATGAAATCAATTTGTAAGAGAGAAAGCAGCACCACATAAAAAGTTTGTATTCTAAGAACATATAATACAATAGTTCCTCAGTTTCTCCTGATCAAGTAAAATCACTAATTATGATTTAAACTGGAAAAGTTTGGTTAGAGTGTTTGTTTTAGTACTTCTATCTTAAAATGAGAATCACATAACTCGAATTTTGGTTAATATTTCTTTTACTTAAATATATTTTTAAAAGATGATTCCATCTAAGCAAAAACCATCAGTAAACTATACTGCACGATAGAAATATATGTGTAAGTATGCAAATTCTATCAATTTATTCATTCGGCAATTGATTATGTATTGTCGAAGTATGTAAATTATATTTTAAGTAAATCATTCAAAATCGGCCTACAGATCCATATACCTAAATGAAGTTTTACAGTTTTGACCGACAAAGCAAAAATTTAATCGATTTTTCTTAGCTCCATTAATGTTTAAATTTTATACTTATGTAAGCCCACAAAAGTCTAATGAAAAGTAATATGTATAAGAAAATTGAAAACATAAATGTGTATTCTAGTCAACAAATATTAAAAATATATACATACATATATATTATAAAAGAAATATATACAGCTTTCTTTTTACAAAAGAAACGTATTGTAATTACTGGATACTTATTACATAGCATAGGACATCCCCTTCAGTTTTTCTCCAATTTCATATCCTTCATTTTATCATTAAGCACAGTTTCTTCATCTTCCTCTGCTTTAAACATGCTCTGGAAATATAATTGGAAATTAGTTATTAGTCATCGTTAAGGCGTTCCTTTCTCATTTGGCTAATCAAACTTACAGCATCATAGATGACTTTAATGATGAGAGAACAACTCGGGCATGTAGCTACTTCCTCTCCCTCCATTAGTTCTTCCTATAAAAAGCAAATAAAATTAAGTACTTATTTGGTCACCAAAAGCTCGTCCGTTTGTTCCAAGTATGCCACTGTTACCTTGGTTATTTGAAATCGATCTCCGCACGGACATGGATAATAATAAACCTCCTCTTCCTCATCATATTCCATGTCTTCGATTTCGACTTCATCGTGATAAACACTCATTTTATACCGTTATCACATAATCCCTACAAAGTTACTAAAAATTTACCAATGAAATTCACGTTGTCTGAAATCGCAAAAACGCTACCAGCAGCATGTTGACAAAACGATTCAAGAGCTGTCAGTTGTCAGTAGAGCTGGAAAACTGGCACTATCGATAGTATCGATGGTTTTAGACTATGGAAAACATTGATGGTTTTGTAAGCACTATCGATAGTTTCCACTCATTCATATATTATTCAGTAATAGTAAAAGCCCGCGGTAGCCATGAACGAAAGACACAAGATCACACGGGAAGGAAAGAAAGAAAAAAGTTATTTTCTTTTTTTAATCATTTTTATTATGCAAATTCTTCTATAAATCATGCCGTTGTGTTAAATTATTCTTTGCCTTATGTGTTTACACGAAGTTATCTGGAACGCGACTCTTGTGAGTCGGGACATTTAGCAATCATCAAATAATTTTAGCGCAAAATTAGAGCGCAGATGCTGCTTGAAGCCAAAAATTGTTAATAAACTTATTTCCCTTAACAAAAATATGCAAACATTTTAGCTATTCTGATCTCATTTTCAATAAAAGTTTTTATGTCTAATTTTTGGAACTTTTTAATCAAAACTACCGATAGTACTATCGATAGTCGCGACATTTTCGATAGTATCGATACTATCGATGGCAGCGATTATCGACTAGTCAATAGTTTTCCAGTTCTAGTTGAACGTTGCATTTTAGGTTTGTTCGTTTTTAAGAAGCAAACAGCTGTTCATGCCAATTCGCGGCAGGGAGCGAGCAAAACAAAACATTGGAAGTTTTATTGCATTATTCTAAATTCGTATTAATGAAAATGTCTGCCGCGAAATTCAGTGATGCAAATCTTTATGAACTCCTCGGTATAGAGCTTGAAGCTGAGCAAGCGGAGATTCGTAAAGCCTATCGCAAAAAAGCATTGGAATGCCATCCTGACAAAAATCCGGACAATCCCAAGGCGGCAGAGCTCTTCCACGAATTATCCAAAGCTTTGGAGATACTCAGTGATGCATCAGCACGTAGCGCTTACGACAAAGTATTGAAAGCTAAAAAGGCATCTGAACTACGAAACAAGCAATTAGATAGTAAGCGACAAAAATTTAAAGCGGATTTGGAACAACGTGAGCGGGATGCCTTATACACATTGTTTAGCAAGCAGCCATATCCCACGGCTCCTAAAAGCGACGAGGAAGTATTGCAGGATCAAATTGAACGACTTCGGCGGGAGGGCTCAAAACTCCTGGAGGAAGAACAGCGCTTAATGAGAGAACAATTGCTACGTACAGTGGCCGAAACCCAGAAGACGAAAGCGGCAACATCGTTTGATTCATCGGCTCATCGTATTAAAATTAAATGGAAAGCAGAAAAGAAAGATCCCAATAACGGTGGCTACACACAAGAAAAATTACAAAATTTCCTGAAAAAGTACGGCGAGCTTGTAGCATTGGTGATGTCGAAGAAAACTGGCAGTGCGTTAGTAGAATTCCAAACCCTTGATGCTGCAGAGATGGCACTCGCTTACGAAAAGGGTCTAGTGGAAAATCCACTACAATTGGAATGGGTCACTCCAACAACAACAAAGGCGGCAGAGAAACCTACAAGTTCTTCGCTGGATTATGAAGACTTGGTCATGCGTAAACTGCGGCAAGCTGAAGAGCGCAAAAAGTTAATAGCACAGATGCAAGCAGAAGATGAAGCAGAGGGTTAAACTAAACTCAGTACATATAGTAATTAAAATAAAACCTCGTTAAGATTAATTGTCAGAAAAATGTTTTCTTTTGAAAGCAAGGTATCGTTAATTTGAGACGAGACATGCCAAACCTGTTTGTGTTATATACATAATTGCGTCCCCAATTCCGGATTGCCGGAAATTCAATTTTCCTATAAAATATAGTGATAATTTGTAGTTGCGTTCGATAAAAAAATTAGCTAACACCAGCTATCAAAATCAAGAGAGTAAGCGAAAATTCTCTCCCAAAGAAAAGTAAAATCAATAAAGTAAACTAACGGGAAATTAGCCATCACTTGCAAAAACCGGAAGAAGAAGACACACCAGCTGACTTTGTTTGTTTTATTTGTAAACAAACTGAAATTCATGTTGCCTCCATGGAAGAAAAAAGGAAAGTGAACGTTCAATGTTCGCCAGGAACATTTCTAGAAGTAAAAACTAGTTTGCGCTATCATAAAGTCACATAGCAAGCAGCCAAAAAGCATATAAATAGCGACCATGCCTCGTCGGACCCGGAGCGATGCGCGAGCTATTTTAGCCGGCAGTTCATACTGCATCCTCCGGTGAACAAAGCCAAGCGTCGAGTGACCAGAAGGCTGCACAAACTGCCAACAACCTGTACCCCCCTTGCTTTCACTTGCGGTGAAGTTCAGGTGGCCATCGGGAAGGCGAAAGCCTCCAAAGCCATGGGTCCCGACGGAATATGCATGCTGATGCTGAAAAATTTGGGTCCTGCGGGGGTAGCGTACCTAACGGAGGTCCTCAACTTGTCTATGGCCACTCTCATCATCCCAGACATCTGGAAGGTGGGGAGAGTGGTCCCACTGCTCAAACCGGGGAAACCTGCCAACAAAGGAGATTCCTATCGTCCGTTAACACTCCTTTCCCCGGTAGCGAAGACACTCGAGGCCTTGCTACTCCCGTACTTCACAAACCACCTGACGCCAGCGAATCATCAGCATGGTTTCCGTAAAGTGCACAGTACAACAACAGCACTTAACGCCAGAAACACTCAGATAACTTGTGGCCTTAACCGAAACCGTCCCTGTGAGAGAACGATTCTAGTAGCGTTGGACTTGTCAAAGACGTTTGACACCGTCTGCCATTCCACGCTACTAGAAGATATAGAGGCCTCGTCTCTCCCACAGAGGCTCAAACGGTGGTCGGCAAATTATCTGAGTGGTCGACATTCGTCGGTAATGTTTAGAGACAAAACGAGTAAGCAGCGAAAAATAAAACGGGGTTCCTCAGGGTGGTGTCCTTTCCCTGCTACTGTTTAACTTTTACATTTCAAAGCTCCCTCAACCACCAGAGAGAGTCTCGATTGTCTCTTATGCCGACGATTGCTCGATCATGGCGACTGGGAATGGAATTGATGACCTGTGTTCGAAAGTAAACGGGTATCTCTCCGAACTTTCTCGCTTCTTCACTGCAAAGTGTCTAGAACTCTCCCCTACGAAATCCTCTGCGACCCTGTTCACAACCTGGACGAAGGAGGTCAGGCTACCGCTGGGGATTCACGTCGATGACACACCAATTCCGACGGTGAATAACCCCAAAATACTCGGAGTAACATTCGACAGCCTGCTCTCCTTCTCTGCGCACTCAACCGCTATTGTCAATAAAGTACAGAGCCGCAACAAGGTCCTCAAGTCGCTAGCCGGCAGTACTTGGGGCAAAGACAAAGAAACGTTGCTGGCAACATACAAGGCAATAGGCCGGCCGGTTTTGAACTACGCAGCGCCAGTGTGGTCGCCAGGGACTAGTAGGACGCATGGCGAGCTACAATGTACAGAACACCGCACTCAGGACAGCGACAGGATGCCTCCTGATTCGCCTGAACACCACCGGCAGGCGAGGCGCAAATGCTCCCTGTAAACATTGTGACATTTCATTTTGAGGGGAAGCTGTTGGTTTCTGCTGGAAAAATTTTTGCCAACAGGAAAACAGCTGATCAAAAACAGGTGGTTGGCATATACGCAAATCACAAAATTGAATTTGATGGTTTCGAAGTTAAAAATTACAAAATGCGACTAATTAAACTTCTAAGAAATAAGTAGTTATTTGTTTAATCAATAAACTGTGTCAGTATAACACTTTGTGATAACTTTTCGTACGTTTTAAATTTTACACTTTTGAATGTTAACAAAAATTATATCAGCTGTTCATCTTAAGAGCGAAATACACCACACAAGCGGTTTGACAAACCAAGCGAAATTTCCCTTTGCTTCAAGCTATTTGTGCTGTGTATGGGGGTGTTTGAAGGTTTGACGGCGGTTTGTCAAACCTTCAAACACCCCCATACACAGCACAAATGGCTTGAAGCAAAGGGAAATTTCGCTTGGTTTGTCAAACCGCTTGTGTGGTGTATTTCGCTCTTAACTTGCAAGTTTCTGCAAATTTTCTGTTCGCGTACTATTTTGGATATTTCTCTCTTGTGAGCGAACAGATGACATTTCGCCGGAATTTGGCAGTTGGTTGGTTTCTGCTGGAGATTTTAAACGAACGCACCTAATAAGAACTCGAGTTTCCGTGTTTGAACGCAGACTAAGCAATATGCGCGTTCCTTATCTCCCAGAAATAGTCAGAAAAAGTCCGAAGTAGTCAGATTTAGTCCAAAAAGCGTTCCTTAACTCGGAAATGACAGCAAAAATGAGAGAGCAACAGTCAGTGAGAGCGACTCTCATCAGTCCGAAGTAGTCAGATTTAGTCAGAAGAATTTTTTCTGGCAAAATCCTGAAAAGTGTCAAACTCAACTGAATTTAAATTAACGGAAATTAAAGAATACGCAAAAAGTGAGAATAATCTAAAAAGTAAAAGAAATGAATTGAAATTGGAAGGAGGCAAAAAATAATTGATATAGCAAGTGTTTATTGTGCTTGTGCTTGTGTGAATGTGTTTTGTACATACATTTCTGTTCTTATTTGACGTTAGTTTTGTTGTTGCCATTCTTTGGACTAAAAATTTGGTTTTTTGCGTTCCTTTACTTTTCCTGTTACTCTCTTTTAGTGAGCGCATTTTGCTTACGCTCTGGCATTTTGACACTTTTCAGATTTTAGTCCAAAAAGATAAGGAATGAACCTAATCAGCTGTTCGTTGTTGACGTGATCCTTTCCTTTCCCAGTTATTCATTTGGAAAATGTTATAGGATGATAAAAAATTCTGAATTTTATTTGTAAACAATCCTTGGTATTATGGACCGGAGCAAACTTGAAACTTTGGTTTCTGCACAAAAGGAGCAGTTAGCTAGATACGAGAAGAGATTAAAAGGTATGTATTGAAGAAAGTGGAAAATCAAATATTAGTAGTACATACATGTGTCCTTTCCATGAACCAACAACTATGTATTTTTGGTTCATGTGTAATTTCCCGTATTAGACGTCGTCACCGCCTATAAAGGGCTGCTCAAAGAAAAAGAAGCACTTGAATCCAGCTTGGCCGCAGTAACGGCATCTAACAATGAAACAAACAACGTAAAGTCCACTTCTGCCCTTGCCAACACTTTTTTGGCATCCGAAAGCGCTAGCAACGCAAGCTCTGGGAAAGAAACGAATTTCCAAGCAACAAGTGACACTGAATCGGGCATTGTTGACGAAGATAAACAGCAATTGCAGAAACAAATCCTGACACTAATGAATTCGCTAGCGACATTATCAGCAGAGAAATCTCGCATGGAGGCTTCTTTTCAAGCAGATAAGAGGCAATTACGTGGTCAACTTACCCAGAAGGATCAAATTATTACCACTTTAAAAAACACCATTAAAGAAAATGAGGACAAAGCCAAAGCTCATTTAGACGAAATGAAAGCTAAATGGATAATCGAATGTCAGGAGCGCGAAAAAGAAACGAACAATCAGATGGTTATGATCCGCGAGTTACAGAAGCTCTATGCCGATGAGAGACATTTAAAAGAAAACATTGAAATGCAGTTAAATAATTTTAAAACCCAATTCGCCAGCAATGAAACAGAAAATGTACATGTTCGTGATCTCCAAATCCAGCTAAAGGAGGCCAAATTACAATTGAGGCAAATGCAAGCGAGCGGTACTGTCAAACAAGCTTTAAAAGATGCTGAAAGCGCCGCCGATAGCACGACTTTATTAAAGCAGGTGCAACAGCAGATGCAACAACTTAAAGATCAACACGCGGTTGCTATTAAGAATGAGCAGCGCCGCGTATTGCACGCGGAAGAGCGGAGTAGACATCAAGCTGCTTTGCATGAGGATCGCGTGGCCAACCTAGAGGCACGTTTGGCAGAGCTTAGTAGCACTGTTGGTAACTACGATCGACTACGTCAGCAAGATCAGGAAAGCATACAAACACTGCGCAAGAAGTTGCAAGAACTAGAGCATAACACGGACTCAAAACTGAACTCGGCAAGTACTACAGATTACAATGCTGATCGCTGGCGCCGGAAGTTAAGTAATACAGCATACGACATTGCAACCCTTGCTGATGAAATTCTGCGCCTGAAAAAGTTGTTACTCGCGGAAAATTCTCGCTCTGCGAACCCCATAGATTTGAGTAAAATATTTTCTGTCGTCTCTGATCATACAGAATGTCGAGAAGAGTTAGAACACTTGCAACAACAATATGATTCTTGCAAGACGGAACTGTTGCAGTATCAAGATCATATGCAGGTCCAAAAGTCGCACATATCCACTTTGCAAGACAAGGTGAAGGTGCTGAACCGCAACATTGATGAGCAAGAGTTGGAATTGAAAAACCAGGCGGAAAAGCTTCGACAAGCTATTAAAGAGGAACGCACCAAATGGAAGAGCAAACTAAACGATTTGGAAAACGAGACACGTTGCAAAGTGGTTGATCTGGAACAGCAATTACAAAAACAAAGGCAGCGGTCTTTGCACTTGCTCGACGAAAAGGAGCAAGAGATAAAAACATTGCAAACATCATTTGAAGTTTTCCACAGTGTCACGTTACCGGCCTCAACTAATGATTCACAGGCCGAACAAAACGTGACAACTTCAGCTTCTGACGCAGAAAGCAATGATGGTGGTGGACCTGACGGAGTAAGCGCTCAAACGGGCACAAAGGTAGCAATTAGAGCAAAAAAGTTATCAATTGGCGACAACTGTCACATGCTGCATTATGCCAACGAACTTGCGCGTAAAGATATTGAAATAGCGGGCCTGCGAAAGGCAAAATATGCCGCTGAATCCTCTTTGCGAAAAGCTATACAAGAAAAGGTGAACGCACAGGAAGACCTCTGCGATAAAGTTGCACTGCTAGAAGAGCAAGTGGATAGGTAGTTATGCTTTAAGAAACTTAAATTGACAGTTGTTTAATTTTTACCTTTATAACTTTAGATTAGAACGCTGCAAGACACGGGAAGGCGCCAATCTTGAGTATTTGAAAAATGTGATCATTAGTTACATTGTAACACGCGATCCTGACGGTAAACGTCACATGCTCAATGCCATTAGCGCAGTGCTTCAGTTAACGCCAGCTGAAATGCAAACGATTAACAACACATTCCAGAAAAAGTAATTGGTTAAATGCTGTCGATGTACTATTTGAAATATGTTAATATATGCCAACAACTAATTAATCGACAGAACTATTTAATTTCCTTAACAGAATAAACATTTTTAACAATATCAATTTAAAATCAATATGTACCTATTTGATAACAATAAAATGAAGAAATTATAAATTAGATGCGTATTATTGAAATCCACTGACTGGAAATTTTTCGAGATGCTTTCTCACAACGGCTGGAAATATTGAAAAGAATTTGAATCGTTTTCCCATTTGTGTAGGATCTGTTAGCATTTTATAGCCGCTTCTAATGATGTCATGATTTTCGGGTAAAGCATTTGCAAGTAGTTGCTGTAGAGTACAAAATAGTGAATTGGTTTTATAAATTGAGGCAATATGTACAGAATAAACTTATGCATATTCAACATTTTTTAACATTGTATACCTCTAATCGAGTATCTCCCTCCATTTTCTTTAAAAAAGTTCCCTGCTCTACCGGGCCAAAACAAATCACTTTGCCATGTTCCTCGGCGATGCGCTTGATTTGTCTAAAATCAACATCCGCTGTGAGATCTGCTGTGCCCGGCGCCAGAAGCGGTTCGTGCAGTTTATGTTTTTTGAAAGCCTGCAAAACATTTTTAGAAAATAGCAAATTCAGAGATTACGTCTCAGTAAAAACTACCATTACTTACTCTAAATGTATCACCCTTTTCGCCGAAATGGCCGTAATCCATAATCAAACCAATGCCACCGTCGATTTCAAATCGTTCCGCCATCATACTAATTATGCGATCTGTATCTAATGAGTATTCGAGACAATCACGCGTCTCATTTGTAATAGGCTGATACAGATGCGACACTGGAGTCTGGGCTTTCGAAATTACGTATCGAAAATCCGGTTGGTTATCGCTGTCAACGCTATCTCTGCTGATTACATCAATTAAGACTTCTTTCCATAGTTTTCCATCACGTTGTAACTTATGTACAGGCAAAGCATCGAAGAATTCGTGTGCTAGCACTATTGAGAAGGCGCGTGGCACATCTTCTAGTCGCTTATGCCAGTATACGCGTGTACCAGTCGCTGTCTTACCAGTCTGATAGTGGGGAGAATTTTCGTCCGTCACCGTCTCGGTGCTAAAGCATAAACGCTGTCCTTGTACTTTACTTAAATGTGGACTAATTTCCACCATATGCATGGAAAATTGTCCACCGAATTTGAATTTGGTTAACACCTTAAGTACATCGCGGGCCAACGTGCCACGTCCGGGTCCTAGTTCAACAATTTGTAAAGGTAATGGGCTACCCAATTTACGCCACTCGCTTACAACCCAAATTGCCACCAACTGAGATTAAGGTAATACATATGTATATGAATAAATTGGCCACTGAAATTTACTGCGTAAGTATCTATGTGTGTATACCTCGCCGAAAATTTGGCAAATTTCCGGTGATGTTATAAAGTCTCCTTCGCGCCCAAACACATCACGGTGCATATAGTAACCGCTAAGTGGATTGGTGAGAACTTCACGCATATATTCGGCAACTGTAATAGGACCTGTAGCCAATATTTTGGCCTTCAAATGCTTCGTTAAATCATTTGGTGCTTGCGACTCCTCTGTTTTTGCCTCTACTTGTGGTGCAGTAAGTTTCCGGGCCAAAATGGTGCTATCCGGCCGGCGAACTGCTTTGTAACTGTAGTTTCGGTATAAACGCGAGCTTACTCCCAACGCAGGGACAATGCATTTTAACGAGATTTTAGTCATTTCACCTGATTATTTTAGAATTTTGTGTTTGCGACACGAAATTGCAAAGGAATTACAAAACGCTTTGAAAAGTTTTGTTTTTATCCATATTGCAGCTGATTACACTGAATCACAAATTTTAGATTTGTTTTCGTTCTCCAGACGCCTTTATCCAATTCTTATGTAGAATTGCTCGGTGATTCCGAAAATCGAGTTAATTTTTTTCTATGGATACGTTTTTGAAATATTTGCAAGTTACCGTTATTCAGCTTAAAACAAAAACATGTATAAATTAATTTCCGATAGGGTTGATAGTTTCTACTAATTAATTAATCATTCCATTTTATATTTTATTTTTGAAAAAAGTCGATTTTTTAGCGGGTTCTACCATGAACCAACGACTACAGATCACGTAATCCGCCATCGTTGTATTTGTAATCGATTTTCAGAAAAAAGTTTTCGTAGCGTTTTTGATGTTTTTTGGTTCTGTTTACATCGTCTTCTACCCTGCAAAAATCGCGACTACTCCATGCATGCATGTAAAGAGTACTCCCGAAGGACCAAGGAGTACACCAAAATTAACCACAATTCATATAAAAAATATGGTCCAATTAACATTGCGATGTCCTAGGGCAGGACCATATAATCCATCTCTGCATTACATCAGAGTAGCACAAAACTACTCCCAACATACTCCAATGACATTGTCGTTATATTTTTTCGCTTGTACACGCTTTTGTTCTTCACTTCACAGATGCTTTTTTTGAAATTCATAAAAACCAAAAACAAAAATTAAAAATTACATGTTGCCTCTGACGACATTCGAACCCGAACATGCTGGGAGCTAAGAACTAACAGCGAGCATCTCTACACGTTCAGCTACAGCCAGATATGCAAATGTACTTTCAAATACTTAACTTCAATCACATTTCGTTAAAACACGAGCAGTGATCGGGTAACAATAAGCTGGTGCAGAGACACGAGTTGGTCCGCTACAGCATGACAGAGGAGCACTTTTGTAAGTACTCCAATATACCACAAATAGACTACATGGTCCAACGATTTTTGCAGGGTACCTCTTCGTAGTGATATTTTAGCGATTTTATGTGTTTTCTGCAGCGGTTTTAATTAGAAATTTTGATTTATTACAAATTTATGATATAATATGAAGTGCTTTGTGATTGGAACAAGTTTGTGCGTCTGTTTGACTTGCGTAAATTTGCGTGAAAAGTGGGTGCACATTTGTGGTCAGAACGTTGGCATTGAAAAATCGGCCAGTGCCGATAATATGCGATTGTAAAACACTCTCAATCATTAAAACCATATTTTGAGAACTTTTTTTGCTAATTGTCATCAAGTTTCACTTTTTATATTTTATAATAAATACAAATCTAATCGCACTCAATAACCGCGCCTTTTTCGTTTTCTTTGTTTGTTTTCATTTTTAGGCAGATGTCAAAAACGCTCAGAAATTTACTTTTTTCATTCTTTTCCGATTGCGTGATCTTGTTACACCTGATTTAGGTCGGTGTTATGCAGACAAACTTTTGTTTGCCAAATTAAATGGCGGCTGCTTAGTTTGCTCGGAGGTGGTTATGTCGAGTTTGGCATAGGGTTGCACGTTCATTATGGTTTTCATGCACGATCCAGAAAATAAAGGTCGCGCCATTCGCGGACCGCTAACCCTCTCTTCGTCGATTTGACAGCATCCACCCAATCGCTGACGTCATAAAATACTTTTGTTTACATTCACTGTTGCCAACTTCATGCTTTTCGCACCAAATTTAGTGCGTATTCAAAATGCGAAAATTTTTGACTTTTGTGCTTGGTGCGTTTTTGGTGCTTTTGTTTTTAGTTTGAAGACACCAAATTAGAAAATCTTAAAAAAATTGAAGAAAAATGTATAGCAATCGTAAGTGTGGTAAACAATTTTACAAGAATTTAAACAAAATCATGGCACAGTGACAATCATAAGTGACAAAGAAATATGTGGCAGCACCTTCAATCATGCCAGAAGAAATCGACCGTTGTGCAAAAAACATTGATTTTTGAATCGGCATCCTTACAATAAAATTATGTATTCATACATAGTCCATAAAATACACCAATAAAAATTTCGTGATTTTTCAAAGTCAAAACTTGGCAACACTGCCTTTTGGTCGATGCTTCCTCTTTTTCTTGTCGAGTTCGTCTTGCTCTCTCATTCCAGTATTTATTGACGTCACGGCCAGCTGCTCTCAGCTCGATTGGCGCAATCTTGTATTCTATCATTCTTGGTTTTCATGGCTATTGCCAACACGAAATGAGAATTTCAGATGTACATAACGCGCAAAATTTCAAATTTTTGTATATGACAACACCGAATTTGCTGCAGTTTGACCAAACAAAATTAGTTTGCTGTGAGAGTCGCCAAACTCGCTCTCTCCGAGTTTGCTGCAACAACAATTGCACGCAGTTTGCCAAACAAAATTTCTGCATAACACCGACCTAAACATGATTCAAGTACTTGAAAGCAATTCTTGCTCATTCTCTTTTGTGTTTTTTATTTGCTTTTACACGTTTCAATTCTGTTGAATTCAAGTCTTTGGTTCTTTAAATGGGAAGCAACGAAAATGCCAAAAGCAAAGCAAGAAAGTTGAAACGACTTGACGGTACAGACGCATGTGTACTCGTCCCTTTTCTTCTCACCCCCTCTCTTCCATGTCCGAGCAGAATTGAATTCAATACTTGAACTGTGTAAAAGCACACTTAGTTGGTTCATGGGGTTCTACGCCATCTTGTTTCACTGGAAAACGAGCGAAAAGTAAACAAAGCAAAAAAAAACAACGAAAACCAAAATTAGCCAAAATTATTGTCGGCCACTTTAAACGCACAATTTAGGTAAAATGATGCTTGTTGCTTTAAAATGTGTTGTCATGTTGAATTAACTCTTCTTTACTTGAATAAAAGTGTAAAATAGTGGTGCTTGTGATGTAAACAAACGCTCAGCTGACGAACCCGCTTTCGCAAACTTTTTTCTCAAAACCAG